CCTCTGGGGGGCTTCTTAGGGAGCCTAGTGGAGATGCTCTTAGAATCTAAAATCCACGCGCACCAAAAGCGTGACTTTCACATACTACAATAGTTTGCCATCTCACTCGAAACAAAAAAAAGGAGGACATATTAAAATTTGCTTACTCAGGTCGCAACCGACATACTAGTATATACTAGAAGAACACCCGTGCGTTGCAACGGGGCCACATTAAATTTAAGAGTTCAATATCAATTATGTTAATATTACATTTAATATTCTCATACATATCAAGTGACATTGGCGACCTTTTTACCATCAAATTCTCACACACACACTCTCCCTCCCTCCTCCTCACTCTCTCTCCCCCTCTCCCTCTCTCTCTCTCTCTCTAACACACACACATATTCATCTTATTGGGTACGGGACCATAATCCATCTATTTCACACGCACACGCGCTAGTGCATAACAATATGGATTATAAAACAGGTTCAAGGTAGTAACAAGGATTCTTCCCATGCATTAATAAACAAATGTTCTGCACTGAAGACAAGATAAACAATTCCCAAAATGCATCAGAGCATCACAGAAAATTACTGGCAAGATAAATGCACGATGTACCGGAACTGCTCGGATGAACCGGAACATAGCCAACATATATCATCCTAGACAAACGCAACATCAACCATTTACCTTGGTACTTTAGGGACCGACAGGAGGATGCATGTAGAAGCGCTTATTGCCTGCGAATCCACAGTTAGAGAGAGAAATTGGAACCCATTCCCATCACCAACTGATAAAGAAAGCATGTAAGAAAATTGATATCGGGCCAACTTGGATCTTCGGTGATTGTCCGCCGGTATGGAGAATTTAGGAGGGTGGGTGCAGGGAGTGGCCTTGTGGATGATGGATGGAGGCGCGGAGGGATGTGGTCACCGGAAGGTCGAAAGCGGAGAGGGTCGGGCACGTTAGGTGGAGCCGGTGGTGCGCGACAACCGGAGGCGGCCCAATCGTGGGTGGCAAACCGACGATAGCCTCGGCCCATCTCTCGACGCAGCGAAGATAGAGAGG